ACAGCAAATCTCATCGTTGATGACCATGTCTGCAATTGGTCACTGACTATGGCCATGTCTCCACCTGTGGGAAGATCGATGCTGCAGCATTTGATTTTGTTAGTCTAGTAAAAGACCTGCTAAATCACACCCCGAGGGCACCTCTATTTGCGCTGACCCTGCTACTTCTCGCAAGGAGTAAAGGAAGTCAATGGGAGTGCTTCTCCCGTTGACCTCCTGCCATGAAGATGATACTGAAGCTCGGCTTAAGGGACATAAACTCCAGCTATGTTTTTTATTGTGCACCTGGAATTGTGTACCTTAAGCCGACCTAATTCAGCCAGGAAGGGAAGTATCTTCAGGATTTTTGCCAAATATAAAGAATGTTTGCAAGTTAATATTTATAATTGTTCAAGTGACAGAGAGCTATGGTTTATACATTCTAGAACAGTACATACATAAACAACAACAATTGCAGACGTCTATGTTGAAAAGTTCTCTGAATGGCCTTTGTCACACTGTATTAGGTAGCTTTTTATACACACACACCAAAAAGAGTAAGAGGTTTTAATGAACGCATGGAAGAGCCCCCACCTGAACAGTGTAGCACAGAGATCTGGCGCTTGCTTTCTGAATCAACTGTAAATATTACATAGCCTTTCAAAGGGACATTATAGTTTCTGATGGGCCAAAAAAATCAGCCTTCCCATTGCCGGCCTCACAGATGTTACGCTGTCCTTCTACACCATTTGTGTGGCACCATTATTTTGAGCCTAAGGAACTGAAACCATGTGCAGAAGAATTCTTGTACTTTTCAGTCCCCTGCCAGATCCTCAGAAGACGAGCAAATGAGCGGAAGGCCAGCACAACACATGCAGGGTGCTAGGTAGGTTTCTCTGTACTCACATGTGCTGCTGTTGGATTGCCCAGCAAGAAAGGCTGGGATGTTATCAGTACAGCAGCAACACTTGATTTTGGGATGGAAGCTACATAAAATATTTCGTATCAGAACATAAAATAAATAGCTGCTATTTTTAAAATAGGCCCCAAAACCCGAATAATCTGAAAACATCCTATAATCTGTCAATACTTAAATGGAATCAAATGTTTTTCTGCATACAAACAACAGCTGGGGATGGACAATTTTGACGGAAACCCATATGTTTTGCTGGAACACTTAACCCTGCTCCTATTAACCCCTATCAATAAATTTAAAAAAATCCAAATAATCCAAAACACCTCCTGAAAAACAATCAGGAATAATGTCATATAAGCTTTGTTTTCAATAAGAAATTGAATTATGTTTAACCCTTGTTCTTGAACAGAAACATCAGCTCTAGACAAGAACATGTGGGTTCAACATTATGTCAGTAATGTAAGTAAATCTGGAGCTAATGTTTACCAACTTATCTGTTGCAGCTTCAGATCACTGAACCTGTTAAAACTTGTCATTATGCATGATTACATTTCCTAGTGAAGGAAAACCAAACCTTCCACACAATCATCTTTTCATTAAAACAAAAAAGTTTCACAGACTCAGACGTACACATCGCAAAGTGTTTTAATATCCCAACTGGAGAAGTGGGAAGAAACTCCTCCTTCGCCCTGCACCACAACAAGCTTTTCTAGAGACCCAGATAAAGAACACTCCAGTTACTCTTGGTGCTAAACAATTTTGCTAGAACACAATAAAAAGATTGGGGTTTTTACTGGAGTTTCTTTTTTAAAAATACAAATACAGTGGAACACATGGAATTCCAGCGCTCCTTCGTTTCCTATCCCCCACACAAAAGGTTTGACAAACAGCGGCGAAAGCCGCTCGCCAGCCCTGCACTGCGGATGAGCAAGAGCCGCACTGCGCATGCGTGTGCCGCCGGTAAACGGGGCGCTGGGCTGAAATCTACTCGCCATGGGCGAGTAGATTCAATAGTTTGTCGAGCCCTGCCCATACAGCTAATTCTAATAACATAAAAACAGCAGCTTGTGAAGAGCTTCAAAAAGATCTCACCAAAGTGAGTGATTGGGCAACAAAATGCAAATGAAATTTAATGTTGGTAAATGTAAAGTAATGCACATTGGAAAAAATAATCCCAGCTATACATACAATATGATGGGGACCAAATTTAGCTACAGCTACTCAAGAGAGATCTTGGAGTCATCGGGGATAGTTCTCTGAAAACATCCACTCAGTGTGCAGCGGCAGCCAAAAAAGCGAACAGAACGTTAGTAATCATTAAAAAAGGGACAGAAAATAAGACAGAGAATATCTTATTGCCTCTATATAAAACCATGGCACGCCCACATCTTGATTACTGAGTACAGAAGCGGTCACCTCATCTCAAAAAAAGATATACTGGCACTGGAAAAGGTTCAGAGAAGGACAACAAAAATGATTAGGGGCCATATGAAGAGAGATTAAAAAGACTTGGATTTTTTATCTTAGAAAAGAGGAGACTCAGGGGATCTATAAAAGATAGAGGTCTATAAAGTCATGACTGGTGTGGAAAAAGTATTATTTACTTGTTCCCATAATACAAGAACTATGGGTCACCAAATGAAATGAATAGATAGTAGGTTTAAAAAAAAAGCAAAAGGATGTTTTTCTTTACGCAGCACACAGTCAGCCTGTGAAACTCCTTGCCAGAGGATGTGGTGAAGATTAGGACTTTAACAGGGTTCAAAAAAGAGCTAGATACATCCTTGGAGGTTAGGTCCATTAATACTTATTGGCCAAGATGGATAGGAATGGTGTCCCTCGCCTGTCAGAAGCTGGGAACGGATGACAAGAGAGGGATCACTTGATGTTTCCCTGTTGTGTTCACTCCCTCTGGGGCATCTGGCATTGGGCATACCATAATTTATATAACGGTATTAGGATATTTTCTGCTTTATTATCCATCCCTTTCAAAACAGTTGCTAATATTTTGTTGGCTTTTTTGACTGTCACTGCTTTTCAGAGAGTTATCCACAAGTTCCACAGGAACTTCGAGTCAACAAACACGTGGACAAAAGGTGACCCAGTGGATATAGTGAACTTAGATTTCCAGAAAGCCTTTGACAAAGTCTGTCACCAAAGGCTTTTAAGCAAAGCAAGCTGTCATGGGTCAAAAGGGAAGGTCCTCTCATAGCTCAGTAACAGGTTAAAAAAAAGACAGGAAACAAAGGGTAGGAATAAATGGTCAGTTTTCACAATGGAGAAAGGAAAACAGCAGGGTGCCTCAAGGAGCCGTACTGGGACCGGTGATGTTCAACGTATTTATAAATGGCCTGGAAAGAGGGGTAAATAGGGAGGTGGCAAAGTCTGTAGATGATATACAACTACACAAGATCATTAAATTAAAAACATGGATTTGATAGCACTTTATAGACTAACAAAACATGTAGATGGTATCATGAGCTTTCGTGGGCACAGTCCACTTCTTCAGATGACGAGAGTTCTGAGTTTAGGGTGTGCACACCCAAAATAAATAGATGGGGGGAAGGAAAAAAAGGAGGTGGTGAGAAACAGGGAGCAGAGGGTATAGAAAATAGGGAAGTTAAGGAAATCAGTGATCTGATTCCCTTAACCCCCTTATTTTCTATACCCTCTGCTCCCTGTTTCTCACCACCTCCTTTTTTTCCTTCCCCCCATCTATTTATTTTGGGTGTGCACACCCTAAACTCAGAACTCTCGTCATCTGAAGAAGTGGACTGTGCCCACGAAAGCTCATGATACCATTTACATGTTTTGTTAGTCTATAAAGTGCCATCAGACCATTTGTTGTTTTTTTCTGTACAGACTAACTCGGCTACTCCCCGAGGTTTCATTACATCCAAAGTTGACCATGAAGAGTTACAAAGGGATCTCACAAAACTGGGTGACTGGACAACACAAATGGCAGATGAAATTCAATGCAGATAAATGCAAAGTAATGCAAGTTGGAAAATGTAATCCTAACTATAGGTGCAAAATGATGAGGTCCAAAATTCACTGTAAGCATCGAGTAGATAGGTTTATACTAGGAACTTTTGCTGGTACAACAAAGTTGGTTAGCAGTACAATTTTTTATACCTTTCCTAAACCAACAAAAACCCCTAGCATAGACATAGTCACACTGCAAAATGTCGGTTTTGCTGACAACCTATTTTGTTTGGGAAACTCATATAAGCCATGCAGGCAAAAGCATCTTTCTGATGGTAGACAACCGCATGTACACTAAAAGGGTCTGCCACTTTCTACTGGCATAGAAACACCAGCAAACCTCTCTACTGTAGACTAGACTTCAGTGTAACTCATTTCACTGACACTGTATAGACAGCAATCCTGGAGTGTGACAAATAGCACACTGGAAAACCCATGTCAGAAATCTCAGCCCAAATGCTTATGCCCCTTCCTAGGAAGCAGCTCTGACCCAAGAATTGAGACCAGCTTGAGAGAGAGGCAGGGAGCAAACTTTGTTGCTGTTTGCCACAGCTCACTTCCTTGCTCTCCCCCACCCACAAAGAAAAGAGCCTGCAATACAAATCTAACAAGGATGCAGTAATTATTTCTTCAAACACTAGATTTTGACTGAAAATTAATCTCGGAAGAAACCCTAAGAATTCATTTCCCCCTCCCACACTAACATTGATGCCCACTGTTCATTTCAGGAACTTGTGACTAGGTTTGAGTCTACTTTTTTTTATGAAAAAAAAGTTGACTTCAGAAGGGCCTGGTCTTTGCAGAAGTCAATCCAGAAATTACAAATGAGCAAGAATTCACCTCCACCCTTTGCGTACCAGGAAAGACCCTGATTTTGCGGAGTTTGGAAAGGGCGCTTTTTAATATCGTTAGCCAAATATCAGAGAAGACAAGGGATGATTAACTAGATTTTATTCTTTTTTTCCTCCTTCCCTCTCCAGCTGCCAGATTTGCCCCTGTCCACCCTGCAGAAAGGGCGTAGTTTTGCACCATGGTTATGGGGATGTAAACAAGTAGCAAGTAGCGTGTGCACGCCGGTGTGTGTGTGTGTTCAAAAACTGACTCCCACGAGCTAGATCACCTGCATCTCACGCCAGCTATGATTGTATAGAGCTCGCCATATCAAAACGCCGCCTTTTTCGCAGCAAAAACAGAGCCTCAGTCTCCAAGCAGAAAAGCAGGAAAAAAATAAAAAAACCCCAATTTTTTTTCTTGCCCCCTAGCGCTGCCCCCAGGAGTCCCCTGCCCCACGGTGCCCCCCCCCGGGGACTGGGTCTTTGGTGCCCCCTAGCGCTGCCCCCAGGAGTCCCCTGCCCCACGGTGCCCCCCCCCGGGGACTGGGTCTTTGGTGCCCCCTAGCGCTGCCCCCAGGAGTCCCCTGCCCCACGGTGCCCCCCCCCGGGGACTGGGTCTTTGGTGCCCCCTAGCGCTGCCCCCAGGAGTCCCCTGCCCCACGGTGCCCCCCCCCGGGGACTGGGTCTTTGGTGCCCCCTAGCGCTGCCCCCAGGAGTCCCCTGCCCCACGGTGCCCCCCCCCGGGGACTGGGTCTTTGGTGCCCCCTAGCGCTGCCCCCAGGAGTCCCCTGCCCCACGGTGCCCCCCCCCGGGGACTGGGTCTTTGGTGCCCCCTAGCGCTGCCCCCAGGAGTCCCCTGCCCCACGGTGCCCCCCCCCGGGGACTGGGTCTTTGGTGCCCCCTAGCGCTGCCCCCAGGAGTCCCCTGCCCCACGGTGCCCCCCCCCGGGGACTGGGTCTTTGGTGCCCCCTAGCGCTGCCCCCAGGAGTCCCCTGCCCCACGGTGCCCCCCCCCGGGGACTGGGTCTTTGGTGCCCCCTAGCGCTGCCCCCAGGAGTCCCCTGCCCCACGGTGCCCCCCCCCGGGGACTGGGTCTTTGGTGCCCCCTAGCGCTGCCCCCAGGAGTCCCCTGCCCCACGGTGCCCCCCCCCGGGGACTGGGTCTTTGGTGCCCCCTAGCGCTGCCCCCAGGAGTCCCCTGCCCCACGGTGCCCCCCCCCGGGGACTGGGTCTTTGGTGCCCCCTAGCGCTGCCCCCAGGAGTCCCCTGCCCCACGGTGCCCCCCCCCGGGGACTGGGTCTTTGGTGCCCCCTAGCGCTGCCCCCAGGAGTCCCCTGCCCCACGGTGCCCCCCCCCGGGGACTGGGTCTTTGGTGCCCCCTAGCGCTGCCCCCAGGAGTCCCCTGCCCCACGGTGCCCCCCCCCGGGGACTGGGTCTTTGGTGCCCCCTAGCGCTGCCCCCAGGAGTCCCCTGCCCCACGGTGCCCCCCCCCGGGGACTGGGTCTTTGGTGCCCCCTAGCGCTGCCCCCAGGAGTCCCCTGCCCCACGGTGCCCCCATAAGGAGACTGGGTCCTTGGTGTCCCCTGGCGCTGCCCCACAAAGAGGCCTGGGGCCACCTGGTGCTGTCACCCCACAGAACTGGCCAGATCCCAGAGTGCTGCCCTACAAAAAAGCAGCTGGCCCCTGAGGGAGGGACCCTGTGGAGAGACTCACTCCGAAGGGGTTCTCTGGCACAGAGCCAGCGGGGGAAGGGGACCCCCCGCCAGTGCTGCCCACAGGGCATACCAGGCAATGAGGTGCCCATGGCTGCCAGCCCCCCACTGCCGCTATCACAGGCTAAAACATCCGTGCCTGGACAATACAATCATAGAACTGGAAGGGACCTCGAAGGGTCATCAAGTCCAGTCCCCCGTCCTCGCGGCAGGGCCAAGCACCATCTAGAGTAGACCCTCCCTGACAGGAGTTTGATCAGCCTGCTCTGAAAAATCTCCAATGATGGAGATTCCACAACCACTCTAAGCAAATTATTCCAGTGCTCAACCACCCTGACAGTTACAAATATTTTCCTAATAGTCAACCTAAGCACATTACTTCTTGTCCTAGCCTCAGAGGTTAAAGAGAGGTTAAAAAGAACAATTTTTCTCCTCCCTCCTTGTAACACCCTTTTATGTACTTGAAACTCCATCTCTAGCTTCTCCTATGTGATATGATTATTTCACACAGTTCCGTGCACCTACTTTGGGCCGCACCAAAGTGATTAACCTTTCCACTTTGGGTTTGGTATGTAATTGACTTCAGAGGGGGCGATGCCTTCCCATGGAAAGACTATGCAGTCTCCCTGCGCAGGCATTACAAGCAGCCCCTGTGCTTTGTGTCTTGTGGTCCGTGTGCAGGACCAGCACATGCTGTACGTCACGCCTGTTTGCGGTCAGCAGGAGAACCCCTGCAAGGAGCCTGAGCTGTGTAATTATTAGAACACTGCCCAGGTGTGCCAGCATTCACGGAAACAAATAGCTTTGTGGCAGAACAGCAATACCCTCCAAAGTGTGCTGTTCTGTTGTGAAAGATCCTCGGGTCTTGGGTCTTTGTCCAAAGCTTCATTTTTTGCCACTTCCCAATGCACACAGAACAGCAGCTTGCAACCTTTTTTCATTTGCAGGCCCCCTACAACATTTTGGAAATCTTCGATACTGTTTGCGGACCCCAGTGTGAAAACCACTGTTGTGGAACATCATAATCGGTGGCAGTGGAGTGGTAAGGGATGCAAGTTTTCAACAGCTGGGCAAAATGCTGATGTTCCATGTGAGCTATAAACATGGATGTGTATTTTTCTAACTTGATCCTTGTAGATCTGGTGGAGCACTTCAGCATATCTGACACTTCCCTGGCACCTTTCATCCATGGTCTAGGCACTTCACAGACATTCATGAAGTCAGCCACACAACGTCCCTGGCAAGGAGGAAAGCACTAGTTCTTTATTTGCATTCCTATAGTATAAAGTCACCTCAATCAAGAATGGATGTGTATTTTTCTAACTTGATCCTTGTAGATCTGGTGGAGCACTTCAGCATATCTGACACTTCCCTGGCACCTTTCATCCATGGTCTAGGCACTTCACAGACATTCATGAAGTCAGCCACACAACGTCCCTGGCAAGGAGGAAAGCACTAGTTCTTTATTTGCATTCCTATAGTATAAAGTCACCTCAATCAAGAATGTCCCAACGGAAGGACTTTTTCCTTCATGCAGCCAGGCCGGCCTTACCATGAGGCGAACTGAGGCGGCCGCCTCAGGTGCCAGACTGGGGGGGGCGCCACTAGGACCCAGAATGTAGAAAATTGTGTCTGCTGCTGGTGCGTATGTAGGTAGCAGAACAGTCCCATGAGAGGAGTAGAATTATAGAACCATAGAGTTGGAAGAGACCTCAGAAGGTCATCAAGTCCAGCCCCCTGCTCTAGGCAGGACCAATCCCAACAGGAAGAAGGCAGAATTGAGACCTTTCAAAGTTTTGCCCAAGCGAAGGGGCATGGGGGTGTCATTGGAACTCCCCGCCTCAGGTGCCAAAATGTTGTGGGCCGGCTCTGTAAATAGCTGTGACAAGCCAAGAGGGGGAGGGGAGAGGCAAAGAGAGGAGAAGTGCCTTGCATAAGGTTACAGCAGGTTAACAGTAGAGCCCCAGGGACTCTTGGCTTTCATTCTAGTGCCCTACCTACCGGTTCACAACACCTCTTATTATTCTGGTTTTACAGCTATGGCTTGCCCTGAGACACATAGAGTCAGTTACAGAATCCAGGATTCCTGGCTCCCAGTTCTTTGCTCTTATAGAACCATAGAACACTAGAACTGGAAGGGACCTCAAGAGGTCATCAAGTCCAGTCCCCTGCCCTCATGGCAGGACCAAGCATGGTCTAGGATGGATCATCCCTGGTAGATGTTCATCTAACCTGCTCTTAAATATTTCCAGTGATGGAGATTCCACAACCCCCCTAGACAATTTATTCCAGTGTTTAACCACCCTGACAGGAAGTTTTTCCTAATGTCCAACCTAAACCGTCCTTGCTGCAGTTTAAGCCCATTGCTTCTTTTCCTCTCATCAGAGGTCAAGGAGAACAATTTTTCTCCCTCCTCCTTGTAACACCCTTTTAGGTACTTGAACGCTGTTATCATGTTCCCTCTCAGTCATCTTTTTTCCAAACTAAATAAATCTAATCCTTTCAGTCTTCCCTCATAGGTCATGTCTTCTAGATCTTTATTCATTTTTGTTGCTCTTCCCTGGACTCTCTCCCATTTTCCCCCATCTTTCTTGAAATGTGGTACCCAGAGCTGGACACAATACTCCAACTGAGGCCTAATCAGAGCAGAGCGGAAGAATGACTTCTCGTATCTTGCTCACAACACACCTGTTAATGCATCCGAGAATCATGTTTCCTTTTTTTGCAACAGTGTCACACTGTGGACTCATATTTAGCTTGTGGTCCACTATGACCCCTAGATCCCTTTCTGCAGGACTCCCTCCTAGAGAGTCGCTTCCCATTCTGTATGTGTGAAAAGGACTGTTCCTTCCTACGTGGAGCACTTTGCAGTAGCCTTTATTAAACTTCATCCTATTTAGAATCATAGAATCATAGAACTGGAAGAGACCTCAGAAGGTCATCAAGTCCAGCGCCCTGCTCTAGGCAGGACCAATTCCAACTAAATCAACCCGGCCAGGGCTTTGTCAAGCCGAGATTTAAACACCTCTAGGGATGGAGACTCCACTACTTCCCTAGGGAACCCATTCCAGTGCTTCACTACCCTCCTAGTGAAATAGTTTTTCCTAATATCCAACCTGGACCTCTCCCACCACAATTTGAGACCATTGCTCCTTGTTCTGCCATCTGTCACTACTGAGAACAGCCTCTCTCCATCCTCTTTGGAACCTCCCTTCAGGAAGTTGAAGGCTGCTAACAAATCCCCCCTCACTCTTCGCTTCTGCAGACTAAACAGACCCAAGTCCCTCAGCCTCTCCTCATAAGTCATATGCTTCAGCCCCCTAATGATTTTGGTTGCCCTCCGCTGGACCCTCTCCAATGCGTCCACATCCTTTTTGTAGTGGGGGGCCCAGAACTGGACACAATACTCCAGATGCGGCCTCACCAAAGCCGAATAAAGGGGAATGATGACATCTCTGGATCTGCTGGCAATGCTCCTCTTAATGCAAACTAATATGCCATTTGCCTTCTTGGCTACAAGGGCATCCTGTTGACTCATATCTAGCTTCTCAGAGACTGTAACCCCCAGGTCCTTTTCTGCAGAACTACTACTTAACCGGTTGGTCCCCAGCTTGTAACTATGCTTGGGATTCTTCCGTCCCAAGTGCAGGACTCTACACTTGTCCTTGTTGAACCTCATCAGATTTTTTGTGGCCCA